AGACTGGCCTGATCTACTGACCACAATTATTACAGAATAAGTCTGACACCATGATCATAAAAATATAAAGGGTACACAAAAAAATAGTATTATAATGATCATCACTGTTTTAATTTTTTAGCAACAGGAAGTGATTATTGTGCAATATATTTTGCTTTTTTTTTTAATATTTTGCCTTTGCATTATATTTGCAAGGTTTAAAGAAAATATCTTACTGACACACTGCCTTAGAATCAGCATTTTGTCCTTGCTCTGAATGTGTGACTGATGTTATTTCTGTCCCTCTGTCCTCCAGAGAAAGAAGTAGCAGAGCCGGAGGTGAGGATGGTGAATGGGAAACCAAAGAAAATCAGGAAACCCAGAACGATATACTCCAGCTTCCAGCTGGCAGCTCTGCAGAGGAGATTCCAGAAGACACAATACTTAGCGCTGCCCGAGCGAGCCGAGCTGGCCGCGTCCTTAGGACTGACACAGACACAGGTGAGGCAGAAACTTCCTCCGACATTCTGGAGCTGACTTGTACAAATTACAGATATGTGGACTGACATGTAGAAAGGGAGAAAGAATGAAGACAGAGAGAGAGATAAAAAGAGAGAGCAAGAAAGTGGTCCATCAAGTTCAACCTTTGTGTGTCTGTGTGTATATGAGTCCCTGTGTGGTCTTAGTTTTTAAGAGTATTAGATAAAAATAGATACAGAAAACAGAAAGATTGATGGATGGATACTGTAGATAAATATAAATAGACAGATACAGAAAGATAGATAGAACAATGGATAGGTAGATAGATAGATAGATAGATAGATAGATAGATAGATAGATAGATAGATAGATAGATAGAACAATGGATAGATAGATAGATAGATAGATAGATAGATAGATAGATAGATAGATAGATAGATAGATAGATAGATAGACTGACACAGAAAATAGAAAGATTGATAGATGGATACTGTACATAGATAAGTAGACATATACAAAAAGATAGATAGATAGATAGATAGATAGATAGATAGATAGATAGATAGATAGATAGATAGATAGATAGATAGATAGAGCATGTTTGCTGTCTATTGGTGAAGCAAATTTGTGTGTCCAGATAAAATCAGAAGAAACTTTGCCTCATTTTCTAAAACTAACAACAAAGTAAATTGCATCGTCTGCTTTTGAGACTACAAACTGAGACTTGCTCAATTCTCTTTCTGTGTCATGTACTAATGTATCTTTCTGTGTCATGTAATAATGTTTCTTTCTGTGAATTTATTTTGTGAGAAGTTTATAAGTTTATTTATTTTTTTTAAATATAGTTTTGTTTTTGCACTGTGGTACATTGTAACACATTATACTAGTCATGTACAAGGAGCCGGTTTGATGGGTGACGTCACCGGGACAAATTTGCATTGAAGGTGTTTGTTGTTGGTTTTGGAGTCTGTCACAGATTGACTTTCATTTTGTGGGCCAGTTGGCATCTGATAGATATTTAGGTTTAACCTTTTTTTTTTTTTTTGGGGGGGGGGGGGGGGGGCATTTTTTTTTTTTTTTTTTTTTTTTTTTTCCCACT